CTTGGCCATTCATGTTTCTTCGAACACTATTGCCTCTTTCTGCTTTCGAAGCATGTTCTGGGTCACATGGACAATGTCACCTCTAGAACAACACGCTTACCTTGTACTTACTTTGAGTCTCGCTGAACTCCCATGCACCAGTGAGTCCACCTGGAATCCTGTGTTTTCTGGGCATAGCAAACCCTATACACAAGGGGCACAAGGAAGACGACCACGCATATCACGCATTCTTCTCTGCTCATACACATGCTCCGTTGTCCTTTTAGACTTCACTTATAAAACACAAGGTCAAGTGCAAAATTATAAAGAACTTCAAGATGGCGACAGCAGAGCATCAAACCAAGGCAAGGCTCTTCCGAGCAAGGGCCTTGTGTGATTGCACAGGTCATACGCACATAAAGCCAGCCCTGACTGGACAAGCAGCGAGGTATAGGCAAGAGATCTCAAGCTGGCAACCTGAGGGCCAAATTCATCCCAAAATGCCTTGTGACATTCTTGAATTTGACTGCTGCTCTTCCGGTTCACCATAGTCTCTGTTGCTGCGTGTTGTCTCACACTCAGCCTGACGCACTCATTTCAGTTCCTGCCTGGCCCCTGCTGGCATCTGAGATTGAGACCTCTGAATGAAAGCAGACAGCAAGAAGAAAGAGTGGTGCTGCAGGAGGGCTGATGTGCTAGGATGGGGACTCCGGGCTGTGTGTGAGGTTGGATATGGTGGGTGATTGAGGGTTTAAGCAGATGTGCTTCTCAGAAAAGCAGCCCAGGGATAACTGGGAAGAATAGGTTACAAGTGGGCAGAGATGAACCAGGGAGACCAACTGGTGCAATTGGAGCGTTACAGGCAAGAGGCAGTGAGGTCTGAACTAAGCCACAGAGGTGGAGGCAGAATGGATGCGACTCAGTGCCTGGCTGGAGAGCGAGTGAGGGGAGGGGACGTGAGAGATGAGCTAGGTTCCTGGCTTGGTGAATCGGTGGTGCGCCCTGGCTTTCTCTAGGACGGGAAGTGCAGGAGGAGCAGGCTGTGAACTGAAGCAAAGGAATTCTATTTTTAGTCCATTAAGTTGGAGGCAGCAGGAGGACACCAGGAGAAAAGCATCTAGTAGGCGGTTGGATGTGCGATGCTCGGAAACAAGACCTGGGCTGGGGCCGTCAGTAAGAGCCGAGTCTGCCCAGTGAACGCAGAAGGATGGGAAGGGAGGAGGCTAGAAGTGGAGCCCTTCAGGGTGACCTCTGAAAGTGGGCTGAGGAGGAGACACCAGCCAAAGAGCTGGAGAAGGCACAACCAAGGAGGTGTGCGGGGACCAGGAGAGAGCAGCGTGTGGATGCCGAGTGAGGGGGAGACGCCTCCTGAGGCTGAGGGTGGGCACCGGGGCTGGCCCACAGGTTCTGACCCAAAAGAGAGGCTTGCCCAGAATAAGAGGACTGCAGAGCCCCCTGATGGGCAGCGCACGAGCGTGTGAGGCAGCCATCAGGTCGAGGGGCTGCGGAGTGTGCGCGATGACGTGCCGAGGGGAGCAGATGCTCCCGAGGGCCCTGCGGGGGGCTCATCGAGTGAGCACCAGAACTGAGAGCTGGGAGGGCAGAGGAGCCTCTTGATTGCAGATTTATTTTTTTAGGATGCTGAGATTCGAGCAAGTTTATATGCTGAGGGGAAGGGCCCCTTCTTCTCAGACCCTGGTAATCTTTGAAACAGGGCCAGCTGCCTCCCAGCACCATCGATGATTAAGTGGGTGAATACTTAGAAAGCTTTAGTAAACGTTAGCAGTCACCGGCATCGTTGGCAGCCCTGCTCTGGGGAAACCTAAGATGAGTTGCAGATTGCACTTTCTTCTCTGCACTTCCTTTGAACTGTCGCCCGTCTTTCCATCATTACCCTTGAAGAGGAGTCAACATGGGGTGTCTTCTCTCCAAGGCTGACAGTTTGCTGCCAAGGGTGGGAGCATCCGCACCGCCCCAGATTCTCAGAGCGTGGCGATGTGTCTGCGCCTCATGGCTTACTGACCCCTTCCCTTGATCCTGTCTTCGAATGCTCTGAAACCACTCAGTCCGTGCTGCCGTTCCTGCCTGGGCTCGGCCACCCTGCGTGCTGGCCAGTATTTGCTCTGTCTGGGGACTTGTGGAAATATGTCCAGAGGTCCTGGGTATTAGGACTACGGGACTGCAAGCGGGGATTCCCTTCTTCCTACAGAAATAAAGATGCCTGCCCTAACCTGAGAAGCTGACTCCATCCATATTAGTTTCCTATGCCTCTAAATTGCCACAAGCTGAGTGGCTAAAAGCAACAGAAATTTATTCTCTAACAGTTCTGGAGGCCAGAAATCCAAAATGAGTCTCACAGGGCTAAAATGAAGGTGTCGGAAGGGCTGGTTCCTTCCAGCGGCTTGAGGGGAGAATCCATGCCTTGTCTTTTCCAGCTTCTGGTGGCTGCCAGCATTCCTTGGCTTGTGGCCACGTCATTCCTCTTCTTCTATGATCAGATCTCCCTTTGCCTCACTGTTATTAGGATACTGCAACTGCATCGAGGACCCACCCAGACAGTCCAGGATAATCTCCTCATTTCAAGATTCCTGATTTAATCACATCTGCAAAGTCCCTTTGTTTCCCTTTGTCACATTCACAGGTTCCAGGGATTAGGGCGTGGATGTCTTTAGGGGCCATCACTCAGCCGACCACACGGTCGGTCGTCAGAGTGGATCCTCCAGGCTCTCCTGTGAAGTAGGCAGGGCACATGTTGTACCTGTTTTACTGCTAAAGAAATTAAAGCTTTGTGACATTATAGAGACAGCACAGACTTTGGAGTCAGTGGCAGGGCCTAGCCTCCTCCCTTCCCATCCTCCTGCGTTCACTGGGCAGACTCGGCTCTTACTGACGGCCCCAGCCCAGGTCTTGTTTCCGAGACCAAAGGCAGCCTGGGGCACACGTATAGCCCCACATCAGCGCCTGTCATTGCAGAGCCTCAGTGCTGAGTCAGGACCCTGCAGGGATTTCTGGGACTGCCTGGGACAGCTCAGCTGAGTCCTGGCTTTCAGGAGTCCATCAGCAATGTGCTTGTTTTGTCAGAGAGGCGGCATGGCCATGGCAACTCAACAGAAAACACCTTGCCTCATGGCCATTTGTGGGGTTTTGGGGTATTGTCTGGGGGTGCCAGACAAGGAACCAGTGTCCTTGCTGGGCTTTGCTGGGGACAGGGGACTGCCTAGCGAGGCCATGCTAAGGTTCACCCCAGTGCGGAGGGAACATGGCTTCTCCGCTGGCAGTCAGGGCCCCGCTTAGCACCAGGAATGAGACATTTTCCATCGAACCTCTACTGCCAGGGCTCAGCCAGAGACTTCTATTTTATTGCCTTGAACAGATGAGCTGAGTTCTGGGGGAATGAGACATTGGGGTGTAGGTTCCGTTGTGTGTCTTGTGGAGACTGAATCTCTCCCCACTCTGTCAGATCAGGACCTAATAAACCCCACACTGAGCCGCCTAAACCCTGCCAACTGCACCCAACTGTGACGCCTGCCTGGAAAACAATGTTCATCCCACTTCCAGCCCCCACCACCCCAGACGCAGGGCCAAGGGCACAGCTGCCTGTGCCGGTGCTGCCAGCCGCAGGGCTCAGGCTCCTCCCCCAGACCGCTTCTGGGGGAGCAGGACAGATGGAACAATTGCAACAATTTTGAAATGGAGGCGGCCTAGAATTTAGAGAACCCCCGAATGTGAACTGTAGGCCTTTGTTACTTTTGTCCCAGGCTAGTGTCGAGGACTAATTATTCTCATCGCGTTGCCCATCTGTGCTGTCAGTGGTGAGGGTGGGGGTGGGGGGCTTGGCTGGTCCCAGCTGCCAGCAGGGGTGGAGGAAGCTGTGAGGGCAGGATTCTCCTGGCTGTGTCACTGCCCCTCCACTGCCCTCTTCCCATCTCCATGACCCCCTAGGGGGGGAAAAAAACAACAACGAACCCCAAGAAGCAAGGAGGAACTCAAGAACAAGCAAAGCCAACGTTAAAAAAAAAAATGCAAGGAAACAACGCAAGCCGGCAAATGGGGCTAGAACCCAGTGTGGTGGCCTCTTAGGGCCTCTCCTGGGTACTGGGTCACTCCAAAGAGCCACTCAAAAGGATATTGCTGAGCGCCTGTCCCATGAAGGCCAACTTGATCTTTGAAGGAGGCTCCTACAACTAGAGTAAGCTCCTTATTCGGGAACTTGGCATCCTGCCCCTCCAGTTCCCCAGCAGGGGGCCCTGCCATCCTGCTCCCTGTAGTGATGGGGCATGGGCTTGAGGACAGCTCTCCAGGACGGCAGGTGGGCCTCAGGGGCATGAATATCCACTGCTTAGTCAGGGCTGGTCCCACTGGTCACCCAGCCCCAAACAGTCTGGGCAGCTCAGCAGCTGGTGGAGCTCAATGTTCTTGACTGCACCCTACAGAGTCCTCTCCTTTGGTCACACTGCTCATGCTATGTAGTCACCCAAGTATGAGACCATCTGCTGGGTGCCTGCAGCATGGCAGACACTGTGTTCTGAACACCAAGAACACAACTGAGTAAAAGCCACAGCCCTTCTGCCCTTGGCACTTACACTCTGGTTGGGGGTGGGCGTGCAGGAGAGAGAAGCACAAGCACCATGGGTGCAAGATGCCATGTCCTGTAAGAGAGGTACATCCATGGTCCTGTGAGAGCAGAATGGGACAGAAGGGTAGCGTGGTCTCCAGAGGAGGGTGTGGTGGCAGAAAAGGACTTTGCATCTTAGGTGCTTGAGGGACAGGATTGAGAAGTCAGAGAACAGGACCAAAGCTTGGTGGCATGAAAGTGGCCCAGGATGGGGACAGTGGATGGCTTTATAGGAGTCAAGTATAGGGTGGATAAGAGTAACAGGAGATGACGCTGGAAAAACGTCTGGGGTCAGGTTGTACAGGGCTGCCTGCCAAGGAGTTCAGACTCTGGGACGAGGAGCGGGTAAAGGTTTCAGGACATCATTAGATCATCCCAGCACCTCCACCCACCTCTTCTCCACCAGGAAGGTGCAAGGACACCCTCTCCACAATCACGGGGCCAACCACCCAGAACACATATGGGCGGAACGAAGGGGCCTGGATGAAGGACCCCCTGGCCAAGGATGAGCGGATTTACGTAACCAACTATTACTACGGCAACACTTTGGTAGAGTTCCGGAACCTGGAGAACTTCAAACAAGGTACGTGTTATGGGTCCAACTCAGGTGGCTTCTTCCTTTCCCCACTGTCCTCTGTTTCAGTCATGGCCAGGCCTCTTACGGTGGTGACAGTAGACAAGAAGGGTGACACTTTCCTCTGATGGCGAAAGGACTTTCCTGAGAGCATAGTCCCCCTTCCACATTCCCTCACATTCTCTGCCTCTTGGCTCTGCCCCTCCTTCCCAGCTCCCGGGACAGGGGACAACCTCGAGCCCAGTCCAGAAGTCAATGGCAAAGCGTCCTCCTTTTCCCATAGCCCTTGGCAGTTAACGGACCATGCTCACGTATGTTAGCAGCCTGGATCCTTGAGACAGCTCAGGGAGGCACACGGGGACTGTCACTTCCACACTGCAGACGGGGGTGCCAAGGCACACAGAGGTTAAGCTACGTGCTGTAAGGCACTAGAAAGCAGCAGAGCCCTGGTTGACAGCTCCTCCCATCACTCTGCAACACTGCTCTGAAGCCTCCTGCCTTCTGGCCGCCCGCAGGTCGCTGGAGCAATTCCTACAAGCTCCCGTACAGCTGGATCGGCACGGGCCACGTGGTGTACAACGGCGCCTTCTACTACAACCGGGCCTTCACCCGCAACATCATCAAGTACGACCTGAAGCAGCGCTACGTGGCTGCCTGGGCCATGCTCCACGACGTGGCCTATGAGGAGGCCACCCCCTGGCGGTGGCAGGGTCACTCGGACGTGGACTTTGCTGTGGACGAGAATGGCCTGTGGCTCATCTACCCGGCCCTGGATGACGAGGGCTTCAGCCAGGAGGTGATCGTCCTGAGCAAGCTCAACGCCGCGGACCTGAGCACGCAGAAGGAGACCACGTGGCGCACGGGGCTGCGGCGCAACTTCTACGGCAACTGCTTTGTCATCTGCGGGGTGCTGTATGCCGTGGACAGCTACAACCAGCGCAATGCCAACATCTCCTACGCCTTCGACACGCACACCAACACGCAGATCGTGCCCAGGCTGCTGTTCGAGAATGAGTACTCCTACACGACCCAGATAGACTACAACCCCAAGGACCGCCTGCTCTATGCCTGGGACAACGGCCACCAGGTCACCTACCACGTCATCTTTGCCTACTGACCCCTTGTCCCTGCAAGCAGAAGCACAGAGGGGCCGCTAGCACCTTGTGTGTGTGTGTGTGTGTG